TCTGAGAAAGAAAATTTCATGTTTTGCCCTTAAAAATGCAACAGCACTTATGTGGAAATTCATCCATGATATGTTAAGATGGGTCATATCCAAGGCCACCAGAATATCCAGGTACCAAAAGCAACACTAACACAAATGTATTTAAAGGAATATATTAAAAACAATAAAAATGTGAAGTGAGGCATAGTAACTAAAAGCAAGCATTTTAGAGTCAGACTGGCCTAAAACACTAGCATCTTAGTATCATGTAGTGGTGTATACTGGTGTTACATAGTAGCATTATAGGGTTATTGTGGGGATTAAATGAAATGTCATATAAAGGATTTAAGGAATGTCGTACTAAATATATGTCAGCTACTATTATTCCTGTATGAAGCAGAATAAACTAAATAATAAGCTTTAGAAGGCTGAGGGTTTTCATAACTTTCCTCTGATGAGTTTTAAATCCTGGCACTCATTTCCTTGTGGGCAAGTACTTCTCCATTCTTCTTAGCTCAAAGCTGACCTAATGTTCTTGAGTGGCTCTAAGTTAACAGTTCTCAACATGCGGTTCACCAACTCCTGAAGGTCCCAAAGACCCTTTCAGGGGCCCTACAAAGTAAACATTATTTTCATAATAATTGCAATGCTACTGATTCTAATTTTATTAATAATAGTAAAACTAATTTCATAATGATACTAACTGTCCAATAGTACTTTCGTTTTTCACTGTGTTGACATTTGCACTGTTGATGCAAAAGCCATGGTGGGTGATACTACGGATACCTTAGCAGGAATCAAGGCAGTGGGACCAAAGTGTCCTGGTAATGTTATTCTTCACTACCATGTGCTCACTGGAAGAAAAAAAAGCTAGTTTCACTTAAGAACGTCCCTGATGAAGGGGTACTTTTATTGAATCCTGACTCTTGAGCACACATTTTTTTAATATGTGATGAAATGAGAAGTACCCATAAAGCACTTCTGCTGCATATTTAACTACGATGGTTGTCTTGAGATAAAGCACCTGTACCGCCATTTGAGTTATGAGCTGAACTAGCCATGTTTTTCATGGAACACCATTTTTCCTTGAAATGAATGAATGATAAATGACGATATTCAGATTTGGGTATTTGGCAGACATTTTCTCAAAAATTAATGAAGCAAGTCTGTCACTTCAAGGAAAACAACAGACAATATTGTTACTAGTGATGCAATTGGAGCTTTCAAGTAGAAATAAGAATTTTGGAAAACTCTTATTTGCCTCAGTGAGCTTGATAGCTTGCCAATACTTAAAGACTTTTCTGATGAGATCAGTGGTGATAATAATCAAGGTGATTTTTAAAACTATATAGTATAACGACACGTGACATTATTTGGAAGATGTGCATAACCTAGTGAAGACAGATTTTCCAAATGACCAACACATGCTGTTATAGAATCAATCACACATGGATAAAAGAGCCATTCAAAGTGGAAGATACATCAATAGATCTCTTCGATATGTTTTTAGATTCCACATTGCAAGTAACATTTAAGAAGCCATAACTTGTCTGATTTTGGTGTAATAGCAAAGAAAAAGAACCACGATGACCTGAAAAGTCTATTAAAATATTTCTCCTTTTCACAACCACATCTTTGTGAGACTGGATTTTCTTCATATATCACAGTCAAAACAAAATATCACATTGAATGGAGAAGTAGATATAAAAATCCAATTTGCTACTATCAAGCCAAATATTAAAGAGATTTGCAAAAATGAAAAATGAGGCCACTCCTTTCACTCATTTTTTAATTTGGGAATATATAGTTACTTTTCATTATAATACATTGTTAACGCGTAACAGGTTTATTGTAAGCATTTTTAAATTTTCTCAGTTTTAGGGCTTTTTGCCCATTAAAAAATTTTTTTGAGTTCACAATAGTTTACATCAATGTGAAATTTCACTTGTACGTTATTTCTTGTCTGTCACCACATTGGTGCTCCCTTTCACCTCCTGTGCCCTCCCCTCACCCCCCTTCCTCTGGTAACCACTGAACTGTTTTCTTTGTCCATGTGCTTGTTTGTATTCCACACATGAGTGAAATCATCTGATGTTTGTCTTTCTCAGTCTGGCTTATTTTGCTAAGCATAATTCCCTCCAGGTCCTTCCATGTTGCAGCAAATGGGATGAATTTGTCTTTTTTTCTGGCTGAGTAGTATTCCATTGTGTATATATACCACATCTTCTTTATCCAGTAATCAGTTGATGGGCTCAGATAGTTTCCATGTCTTGGCTATTGTGAATAGTGCTGCCATGAACATAGGGGTACATATGTTACTTTGGATTGTTGATTTCAGTTTTAATTTTTAATATGGTAAATATCAATATCAAAATCTATATAAACTAAAGGTTTTTGCGGTCTTCAATAATTTTTAAGAGTATAAAGAGGTTCTGAGATGAAAAACTGGTAAGAACCATTATTCTAAATAATTCTCCAAACTTGGGCTGGTCTCATTTGACCATCCACAGAAAGATAGTGCTTAGGGCCAAATCTACAGTAGAAAATGATCACTTCCTAGTCAGGTTAGGCAGTAGAACATTGTGAGGAAGGATCTTCAAAGTTAGAGCTGGCACTGTAAGAATTCATCCTCACAGTAACAGGTAAGTCTAATAGAGTAGGACCATTGAGTTCAACAGGGTAGGCCAAAGACCTTTTAAAAAAGATAGGCTGCAAGTCCCAATCAAGGAAAAATAAATAGCTAAAACATCTGATTAGGAATTGTTTGCTTTTGATGTGTGTGTCTCTATAGATAGATGAAGGAGAAACTTGTCCTTTCCTAATTAAAAGGAAATTGCAACTGGATCTCACCATGGGCCCACAATATCTGCTCAAGAGGGCCTAATAAAACGTGTTAGAACAGGCCATTACTGTAATGGTACCATGGTCACCTTCCAAAATCTAGCTCTAAGATTGATGCAGGAACCCCTCTATGGTCCGTCTCCTTCCCAGCCAAGAAGCAGACAAAGCCAGCCCTGAGGCTCAGGACCTTTCGGATTCTCACCTTCAGTCTGAGGATAGAAAGTGATGTATATAGTTGAATATGGCTTAGGCTGTGAATTTAATAAGGAATAAAAGTCATGAGAAACCATTTGGCCCATTTCAGCCTCTTGGTGTCCTGAAATTTCCATCTCACTGTGATGAAAAGAATCAAGGTATGATTTAACTGAAAAGGGGGTTGCTGTCCAAGAGGAAAGGGAAAGAATAAGGACCAATTCTAGCTTCAGACAGCATTGTTTCTGAAAATAGGAGAGAGAGCATCCCCGATGAGGTCCAAGCAACTACTGACAGGAATCATCCAGCAGGCTCTTCAATCCTTTGATCATTCCAGGAAGCTTTCCTGATACCACCTTCCATATTGAGCCAGGTCATCTTGGTCACAAATTATCATTTATCCTCCTCAAGACTTGTGTGTGAAGAAAGTAAAAAATAATGATTTACATGAACCCTGGTGTCGGCCTGCCTGGATCTGATCTTGTAACTCCCGAGGCTTCAATTTCCTCCTCTGTAAAATGGGAAGTGACAGTACTTACTTCATAAGATTCTTGTGAAGATTATCTAAGATAACGCATAGAAAGCACTTAGCACAAGACACGGTACACACTAAGTGCCTAATAAACCCTAGTTATTATTAGGGAGAGTCTTTGCTTCGTATTCCCATCTGTGAGCAATTTTTTCCGTTATTTCTCAACATAACCTCTTTCTTTCGAGGCTGTTGATCTCCGAGGCATCTGGTCCCTCAGATCCCTGAGTCATCATCGTTAAGATGCCGGGTTTCTGAAGTCATCCCTTCTCCTGCTGCTCTCTAGGGCTCCCTCTCCTGACTGCTTAGCTCTCGTAGGGGCCAGACTCAAATTCTGTGCCTGCGAGTGTCTCTTGGGGCTTGGCCACCCGTCTTGGAGGAATGGCCCAAGTGCTCCTTGGAGACCACTTATGAGGAGGCCACAAAACTGAGCACCGCCAGACTCAGAGAAACGCCCCAGCCCAGCAGCCGCAGCGAGGCCGGGGACGGGGTCGCGCCCAGAGGTGAGAACGAGGCCGGGGGCGGGACCGCGCGGCGAGGTGGGAACGAGGCCGGGGGCGGGGCCGCGCTCAGAGGTGAGAACGAGGCCACACCCCGAGGTGAGCGTGCTGGGGGCGGAGCCACACCCCGCTGTGGGCGCGAGGCCGGGGGCGTGGCCGCGCCGGGGGAGCCGCCCCGACCGTTAGGGATGCGCCAGCCGCCTCCACCGGCGGCGCGCGCAGCCGCCCCCAGGCGTGAGGCAGCCCGGGGGTTAAGGCCGCCGGCGCCACCTGGGCGCCGCTGAGGAGACCCACGAGCCGGCGAATCCCGCGCGGGCGCGGCGAACAGGTGCCCGCGCGCGTCAGGCGCCGGCGAGGGGCGGGGCGAGGGGCGCGGCCGGAAGCCCGGGGCGGGGTGCGGCCGGCCCGGTGAACAGGAGGAGCCGAGGAAGGCAGGAAGGAGCTCGCCGGGCTGCGGGGCGCGCGATGTGGAGCCGCCGCCTCGGCGCTTGCAGCAGCCGCCGCCGCCGCCGAGCCGAGGGACATGGAGCGCGGCTGCAGACAGCGGCCGCCGGCAGCAGCAGCAGTAAGCGTCGCAGCGACAGCCGAGCGCAGCCCGCCCCGTGAGGCGCTGCCCGGCCGGCGGCGGCAGCGGCAGCAGCAGCAGCAGCAGCAGCAGCAACAGGGCGGCTGAAAACCCGGCGGCGGCGTTCCTCGTCGCCACCGCTCCTCCCGCTTCGCGGCCCCTCCGCCTTCCCTTCCTCCGCCTTCCCTCTGCCACCGCCTCCTCCTCCCCAGAGCGCGCCGAGCAGCTGAGCCCGGGGGCGGGGGCGGGGGCGCGTGCCGCCGGCGCGGGGGAGGGGCGGGCCGGCGCGCGCCGCGCCCAGGGCTCGCGGGGACCCGGGGGGCGCGTGCCGCGGCGCGAGGCGAGGCGCGGGGCGCGGGGCGGCGCGGCGGGGCCCCTCCCCCTGCAGCCTGGCGCGCGCCGGCCGGGCCGCACCGCTGCGGGCTCCGCGCGCGCGGGCCATGTCCGCCTTCTGCCTGGGCTTGGCCGGCCGCGCTTCAGCACCCGCCGAGCCGGACAGCGCCTGCTGCATGGAGCTGCCCGCCGCGGCCGCGGACGCAGTCGCGAGTCCAGCCGCCGCCGCCGCCCTCATCTCCTTCCCCGGGGGCCCCGGGGAGCTGGAACTGGCGTTAGAGGAGGAGCTGGCGCTGCTGGCGGCCGGGGAACGGCCGTCCGACCCCGGGGAGCATCCTCAGGCCGAGCCCGGGCCTCCGGCCGAGGGGGCCGGACCGCAGCCACCACCCGCCCAGGATCCCGAGCTGCTGTCGGTGATCCGGCAGAAGGAGAAGGATCTGGTGTTGGCGGCCCGGCTGGGCAAGGCGCTGCTCGAGAGGAACCAGGACATGAGCCGGCAGTACGAGCAGATGCACAAGGAGCTGACAGATAAGCTAGAGGTGAGGACGTCCCTCCTGGGATGGGTTGGAAGCAGGGGGAACCCAGGCGCCCGTCCGCCCGCCCGGCTCTGGTAGCTTCGGGAGCCGCTCACCCACCCCACCCCACCCCACCCCACCCGACTCCACCCGTTCCTTGCTCACCCTGCCTCCCAGAAAACCGCCGGGGCTGGGGTAGGGGTAGGGTGGAGGGTTTCAGATTATCAGATCAGGGCACTCGTTGAACGCACCTGACTTTCTCACCCTGCTCACAGCAAATGGGTCCATGCACAGGTCTAACCGCTGTGGGCCGTTCTATATATGTACTGTACACAGAATCTAAAATAGAGCTTACAGTATGACTAATTTGTACAGCACTGAGGTGATGTCTGCACGCCGAGAAATGAGAACGTCGGGAAGCATTTAAAATATGCTCCAGGTTTTCGGAGAGGGAGTTAATCTCTAATCAGGGTGTTAGCCTGAAGCTTTCCAGTTCTGGCGTTACGGCCTCCAGATGCCCTTGTCTTAACTTCCCCGGAGCTCAGAGTTGTGGGAAACAAGTGCCCCTAAAGGAGCTTTATATAGCTTTCAAATACTCAGGGATTAGGAAATGTGGTTCCATTGCAGAAATCAGGCGAGCCTAGGCTCAGCATGTGACCGTTGGTGGTGGATTTAATTTGGATCTAAGTATTTATGTGTATTTAAACGGTACTGTGTTGTGGGTCTCACACATGCACCTGAATGGCTAAATGCAACCTATGAGAACCATATTACTTTAACTGTTGTTATAAATACCCCTTAAAGTATTTATAAAATTTCTACTAATTCTCTGGCAGTCTTTTGGAGCTATGCCTGTTTGTTTTCTTGCCCTTAACTAGAAAAGGGACTTGAAAGAGGTGCAGAACACCAGCATTTCTAAAAATTAGATTTTAAAAAGCGGGGTGGGGGAGATCTCTGGCAGTGGAGATGAGCTGATCTTTTTCTGCCTGTGCATTTACTGTTGTTACCCAGTTTGGTTGCAACCAGTTCTTTTTATTCTTAGTTACAAGAGACTAGTACCGTCCTGAATAGGGTCTGAAACTGACGCTACTCTGGTTCCATATCACTGCTACTGGTTGAACAGTCAGAATGTAGGTTCCAAAACTTTTCTGGAATAAGATTTAACCATGTTTGTAGTCTAATGACATATCAGAAGTAAATCAGAGAGAAAAAAGGAAAGCGATGAGTTCCCTGTAGTTCAGTTGGCCTGTTAACTAGGTCTGCCAGTCGATGAACTCCCAAGATACCACTCTGAAAAGTAGTTTGTGAAACCTATAGGTAGACTGCCAAAAAGCAACCCAATGAATTGAACTGTTTAATTTTCACTTGAAGTAGAGGTCTCGAAATGAAAGGGTATCTTTTTATAAAAGAGAGATTGGATTACACGACTCTCTGTAGAAGTACGACTGCAGAGATTTGTACGTGTGATCTGAATTCCTTCAGTGAGGGACTTGATTGAAGAGGCAGCTAACTTGAAAGGAACATCATATCAGCCAGTTTGATTAGTGACAGATTTCAGAGTAATCCTGAGTGTGCAGTTACACACATCCTGGATTCCATGTGGAGCCTTTATACATTTCTTCAACAGAGGAAAAAGATTTCAGAATTCTATAACAAGAAAGCTTCTATTGTAAAAAAAAATAAGTTACCTTTGACTTTTTGTATTGACTTGATAGACAATAAAAAAATAGTTTAAAGCTCTTGTTTTTTTAAGTGTTCACTCCTCAGCAGGTCAGCACATGAACTCTAGCATTAGGTTTATTTTTAATTTCTGGAAGTTGGTTGCACAACAATGTGCATGGTTGAACTGTACTCTTAAAAATAGTTAAGATGGTAAATTTTATGTATACTTTACCACAATTTAAAAAGTAACATTTTTTAAAGGTTATTTTTAAAAAGCCAAATATTGATCATTATTAAAGCTGAGTGATGGGAAATTCAGTTGTACTATTTCTTCTAGGTATGTTTGAAAATTATCATTAAGAATTATTAGGGTTTTTTAAAACATATATTTAAAAATATCTTATAAAGGTATTGTCATTAGCTCCTTGTTAATTCTTCTAGTTTAATATTAGAGTGACAAACCTATTAACAGGGGACTATTTCATTTAATACCAGCAAGTGAATTTTCCCCACTGTGTATTTTTTAAGTAGCCTAGATTTTAGAATGTCTGCTTAGACAAAATAGTTTCTAAAGTTTAACACAGCCACTCTGATATATTTTCAATTAAGTTAAACGTTTAGGAGCAGAGAACCAGCCCTTACTTTAAAATGCATTTGTAGGGGGCCGGCCCCGTGGCGGAGTGGTTAACTTCATGCGCTCTGCTTCAGCGGCCCAGGGTTTCACCAGTTTGAATCCTGGGCACAGACATGGCACCGCTTATCAGGCCATGCTGAGGCCGCGTCCCACATGTCACAACTAGCAGGACTCACAACTAAAAATACACAACTATGTACGGGGGGACTTTGGGAGAAAAAGGAAACATAAAATCTTTAGGGAAAAAAAAGCGTTTGTAATTTTCCACAAACTGTCGCACATTGGGTCAAACACATTTTCTCACAGGTTGGTTTGAAAGCTAAACACATGAGTGGACTCTGGGAGAATGTTGATTTGACTATTAAATAATTGGGCTGGTTTTGTTTTAGTCCCATCTCCTCCCTTACTATTTCACAGTTGGTACCTTTCTACCTTCAGGACCAATTAGCCATTTTCAATATCTGTATTTCTACCTATTTATTAGTTAGTATTGAATACCTCTCCAGTTCTGTGTGCCAAACCTGAGATTTTGTTTTGTCATTTAAAACATGAAGTACTTGATCTTACACTGCTCTCGCATTAAAGGCACACTCTTTAAAGTCTTTAATGATTTAAAGGTTAACATAGAAGTTTTTTAGCTGTACCTCTCTTAAAATGAAGAAGGTTCAAGCCAAGATTCAATTTAATTTGAAAGACTGTAAGGTTTTGGTCATTTTTTCCACCCTTAGATCGACTATATTGTATTTTATTCATTCACTGAATCAGATTTTTATATGCTTAAAGTTCTAAACACATTTAAAAAATTTATTTCTTCTGCATCTACAATTAGCCCTTTTGCTTTTAAAACTTATATCCAGCCAAGTCCTTAGTTTTTTCCCCAGAATATGAAATAAGACAGTAACTTGCATTTATACACTTTTTTCTTCAGAGATCAAATATTTATTTAGTTTTAAAAATTATTATTTTTAATGTGCAGCATCCCCATTTTCCCCATTCCAGCTGAGAGTGAATTATCTCTTACTGCAGAGACAGTGTTTTTCCTCAATTACCTTTTCTTCCCCCTTTTGTAGGCCAATTCTAATGATTCTAGTACCATTTTTTTAAAAGGGCAAAATGAGTAAGATGAAAATGAATGGGAGTCACTAGTAGATTTAGGGGAGCAAACCCAGGGGTCCTGATTTGCATTTAGTGCTTGATCCACTTAAAAAATAGTACTTTTTCTTTGTATTTTTCAAGAACTGTATCTTGGACTTATGAGCATGGTATTGCTTTTTGGTTCTTTACAGAAATTCATATTTTTAACAACTGTTTTTAGGTAGGCTGATGATACTAACTTTTGTTTTTTGAGAGTTTTAAGTAGGCTTTATTTTCTTAGAATGGTTTTAGATTTACGGAAAAGTTGGAAAGATGGCACAGAGAGTTTCCATATGCCCTGCACCCAGTTTCCTCTATTATTAACATCTTACATTAATATGGTACACTTGCCATAATTAAGGAACCAATACTGATATGTTGTTATTAACTAAATCCTTAGTTTATTCAGATTTCCTTAGCCTTTACATATTGTCCTTTTCTGCTCCAGGCTCCCATCCAGGCTACCACATTACACTGTTTTCATATCTTCTTAGTCTCCCCTTTGCTGTGACCATTACTTAGACTTGCCTTGTTTCTGATGACCTTGACAGTTTTGATATTAACTTTTTTCTTTTTTTATTGAGGTATAATTGACATGTAACATTATATTATTTCAGGTGTAAATTTCAACTTTTAAAATACCATGTAACCCCGAGAACCAAGAAATAGCATGGACAGAGCCTCACCTCCACACTTACCGATATTCTGCCTAGAGTTTACTGGTTAATTTAGCACTTGATTGAAAATATAATTCTGCGAGAAACCTTTCTTTTCTCAGTGTAGACAAAAGGCTAAATTCTGTATGTTCATTGGAAAGTCTTGGTGGGACAGCTGAATTAGGATTGTCCGAATTGTCACATGTCCAAGGAAATAGAAGGACAGAATAGACTGATCAGCACCGCCTGTCGTCAACAGGCCCCTCCCCCCACAAGTGGATTGGGTTGTTTCAGTTGCCTGGTTGGGCTGTTCACTAACAGCTGTTTGCTGAATGTTTTTAAGTCTCTCTGTTCTTTTAGAACACAAGCCTAATTTATCTGGCCTCTCAATAACACTGTGATTACTGACCTCTTGTTGCCTTCTGCTCAGTCTTTTTCATTTTGGAAAAACTCAATAAAACCAAGTATCACAGTTTTGGGATTGCAGTTAGCATTTGTTTCTGCATTTCTTCCTTCTGAAATTTCAACAGTGACTAAAACATTCTCATTTTTGGAAGTTTAGCAATATGAAGAAAGCATGAAGCAGAAAATTCTCATGCTCATGAGTAGAATTCTGTCCTTTGTCATTCCTTGTCCCACATGCTCCAAACTGAGGCTGTCTAAAGTATAACAAGTATAAGTGTGTGACTTTTTCAACAAATATACTAGAGTGGCTATATGCAAGTTGGTATTTCCTTAAAGTGGTCAATTTGCAGGGCTGTACATTTATTTCAGTGAAAACTGCCTTTGCTAATGTGCTCAGAAATTTAATTTTGGATCACTGTTTTTTTCTTTTGCCACATTATTTGGACTGCTTTGTTGTGGTAAATTTTCATCTTTTGGGGGGTAAATTCAACTTTCGGAAACATTCACAAGTCACTCAGAGCAAAGTAAGAGGAATAAGATGGCAGGATGAAAAGGGATAATCTCTTTTTTAGAAACATCTCAGGTGTGAAGTAATGGGACTGATTTTGTTGTATAACCATATGCCCTGGCCCTTCAGGCTTTTGAAAAAAAATTTTTAAAGTGAGAACTTGGAACTTGAAGCATGGCTTCCCAAGGTGAAGAGATGACTGAGTACTGTGAAGTAAAGATTCGTGTGCTCATCCTAGCTTGTTGAAACGATCTCAGTGTTTGATATCAGCCTTCAGTGCATCAGAATTTCCTGTAGAACCAAGATAGATAGATAGATAGATGCACGCTTGCCCAGGCCTCATCCCATTCTTAACTGAATCACAGTCTTTGGAATCGGGGTCCAGGTGGTATATTTTGAACAATTACGCAGAGCTTTTCTGAGAGCACCAAACGTTGAGGACCATTACTTTAACTTCTATTTTATATATTCCTCGAGGTATAGACTTGGCTTGTTTGTACATCCTGTGCTTTTTAAGTAGGAGAACATACTTGCCCCTGAAAAGAGACATCTATGCTTATGTCATAGAAACAAAAAGATGTTCTTATTTCCTTCAGTTCAAAAGAACTTCCACCATCTATACTTTTCTTGCATACCATTTGTCACACACAACTTATTACTTTTATCAGCCTCTCTCACTAGAATGAAAACTCCATAAAGGCATGGGCCATGTCTGTTTTGCTCCTTATTACATCCCCAGAGCAGTGGCTGGCCCCATAGTAGGCACTCAGGAATGAATGAACGGATCGAAAATAAATATGCAAGGCTAATAGGCCATGATTGAAAGTAGAGCTGAACCTGCACTTGCCTTAATGATTTAGAAATACAGTGCTATATATAGCAACAAATATTTATTGAGTTGTGATTTAGAACGCTAAACAGAGTCAGGTGACTTGGACACAGATCCCAGCTCTGCCATTTACTAGTATTGACCTTGAGCTTGTTACTTATTATCTCCTCTTGCCGCATTTGTAAGAAAAGATGGTTAATCTGAAGGATCTCTGGAGTTCTTTCTGTCTCTGAAAATTCTGTGATTCTAAGTGCTTGGTCTTATGCCAGGCACAGTAGATGATTCCAAAAGAAGCTGCCTTGAGGACTCATTTTAAGTTGTTTAAATGTGTAGTTCACCAATTAATTAGATGACTTGCTAAATTTCAAGTGAATTCCTACGTCTACATAGTAACATTAAATATTTTTAATAGGAATGGCATTCTCCTTGAGAAACCAACTCCTTCCCTGCTCTGGAAGAAGGGAATATATTTGTGGCTGTGAAATGGGCGATTTTTTGTATGTGGCAGAGTGTTCTGTTGTGCTGACCGACTGGGAAAAAGAAAAGTTCCACACAGGAGAGTGTGAAAAGAGAAAAAAACGAGAGGCTGTGGAATTTTTAATAGTTTTTAAATCCTCTTCATTTTTCACCCAGCACTTAGAACAAGAGAAACACGAATTAAGAAGACGATTTGAGAATCGAGAAGGGGAGTGGGAAGGACGTGTGTCAGAGCTGGAGAGCGACGTCAAACAGCTTCAGGATGAGTTGGAGAGGCAGCAAGTTCATCTACGGGAAGCAGACCGAGAGAAAACCCGGGCTGTCCAGGAGCTGTCAGAACAGAACCAAAGGTTACTGGATCAGCTCAGCAGGGTGAGTCACAAGTGAGGAATTTATGGTGTAAATTACTAAAAGTTGAAACAGAGTTTCTGTGTCATGTTAAACATATATATGGTAGGAGTAGTTCTGACTTTTTGTTGCCTTTGGTGTTAATAGCAACAAGTTAAATATTTTTCACCTGTAAGAACTTGAGCTGTGCCAAACTAGGAGTCAGGAGCCAAGCCTCTTGCCTGTCATTAGCCAGCTATGGGGTTTTGACAATCACTTAACTTGGGTGTTTTCTCATTTTTAAAATGAAAAGGTTGTGCTTAATGATTTTTGTCCTTCCTTGTAGCTCTAAAATTCTATGATTCCGTTACCTAGAGGAAGTCTGTCACTGGTAAAATTATGTTAATGCATTTAGTTCAAATATTAAATGGTGCTGTCTTTAAACTGAAAAACTTAGGGAAAATTTCTGGAGTAAATGATTTCCATTGATATTACATTTGTGGATGTACATTCTTTCATACTATTTAAATATGAGAGGAGGTATGTGTATCTATATTTAAAATCTATTTTCTTTATTTCCCTGTTAAGTAAAAAATTCTTTGCTTGTACCTTTGTAGGGTGGTGTCATGGAAGTATTAATTAATTAACCAGGGTCAAGACTGTAAAGTGATTGCAAAAAAAAGGAGTTTGAGTACTGAATAGGTGGAAATCTCATTTAAATATAGAACATACCTTTTTAACAAATGCAGGAATGTTGTTAATACCCTGCTCTCTAAATCCACCTACTTTTGAAAATTAAGAGCTGGATTTACTATTGTACCTCAGTCCGTCTCATGTGTTGAAAATAAAACTACTAACTCTTCAGTTACCAGAGGAAAAAAGAACTTCTACTCTGATCTCATCCCTAAGCACAAACGTTCTCATGAGAGCACTGTCTTGGTCCGCCTGGTTAGTGTTTGGTGCTTAGGTCTTTGGGAAATGCTTAGCTAGAGCAGCATATGGTAGATTCTTGGCAGTTCCACTACTTCAACGGGTAACACTGTATGAAGTTGTTTCATTAGTTTGTGTCATAGTTGCTTCCCATAGGTACTCTGAGACTGGTCACAACCTTCATGCCTCACAAGGAAGTGTGAAGTAAATGCTACCACTGCAGCAAGGGAGAGGAGGAAGGAGAGAGAGAGAAGGAAGGGGGGAGGGGTGGGAGAAATAGAGAAGGAGGAAAAGGTGAGAGAGGCGGAGAGAAAGGGAGAGAGGAAGGGAAGGAGGGCAGAAGACAGGAAGGAAAGAAGGAAACAGAGAAAGAGATGCGTAATAACTTGGAAAATAGCTAGTTGCAGGAAATATCCAGATGTATGTGAAAGGTGAGAATTCAGGTGATGGGTAGAGCTGAAGATCTTGTCTTCAGGCTTCCCATCCAGGGAATCAAATCACTATTTGATTGGCTGGAAAGGAAGAGTTGGACAGTTCTTCAAGGAGTCATTTACAGGGCCAGCTCAGTAACAGCATTTTTGACTCAGTAAACCTTTTTCAGCAACTGGGAAGGGAAGTTCTATTCTTGTGAAGGTTTTTGAGTCTTCGTTCATTATTCACGAAACATTGAATTAACCAGATAGGCCTGGCCAGATTGATTTATTTGTTCAAAAACATTTATTTAATACTTACTCTAAGCATTTCTTATGGAGACTTATGAAAGGAATACAACAAAACAGAACAATTAAAAGGGACATCCTTTGTTGGGGACTAAGTTTATGTTACAATATAACATGGGCTGAAGCAGAGTTAATTCTGGTTTCTGATCTGGTGAAAGATAGATGGCCAAGAGAGATGAAGGGAGAAAGCAAATATTAGCATGACATAGCAAAAGAGCACAGAGCTTGGAAATTAGATGCGTGTTGAATCTTGACTCTGCTTCTGAAAAATTGGGTGACTTGTTTGTGCCTCATTTTCCCTGTCTTTAAAGTGGGGGTAAAAATTGGTACCTCATGCAAGTACTGTTGAAATGAAAATGAGATAACGTATTTATGTTAAGCAGTATATGAAGGTAAGGATTTGTTTCAGTGTTGATGGCTATTTTACTAAAGCAGTATCTTTATAGTTGAGGTTCCTTTGCCTAATTTCCCTGTGGAAAATCCTGTTAAGCTGCTCCCAGAAGAGTATAGGAGGATAACATTTCCACTAAATCTAGATTCTTGTTATCCTCTCTGGCCTTGAATGTAGGCCCTCGGTGAGTTTCGTCGCTTTTTTCCCCTTTTTAAACAGGACAAGCCCCTGGGGTTTCCATCAGCGGCCAGTTTAGATGGTGTTTTATTGTCATTTTATTAACTGAGTATTCAGGAACTAGAGGAGTTGAGTACTTTGAAGTGAATCAAGATTCTCCTAGGACAAGCTAACAGCCAGCAGAGGTAGTAGAAGACAAGGCTTTTCTTATAATGTAGATAGCGTGTTTCATAAGCGTGAAATGTATAATATCTAAAATGTAGTACAATATTTCAAAAATGATGCTTTTGTCCAAAGTATTTTTAAATATATTTCCTTTGCTGCCATGGCCTCCAAGTTTCTCTTTAAAAAAAAAAACAGTTCTCTTGAGATACAATTCACATTTACTTTTAAAAAGTGCACACTTCAGTAGTTTTTAGTATATTCACAGAGTTTTGCAACCATCACCACTATCTAACTACGGAGCATTTCACAGCCCCCCAAAAACAGACTCTGTCACTCCCCATTCCTTCTAAGCTACCCCATGCCCTGACCCCTGGCAACTACTAATCTACTTTCTGTCTCTATGGATTTGCCTGTTCTGAACATTTCACATAAATGGAATCATATTTGTGTGACCCTTTGTGACTGGCTTCTTTCTCATAGCATAATGTTTCCAAACTTCATCCAAATTGTAGCATGTATCAATACTGCATTGATTTTTGTGGCTGAAGAATATTTCATTGTATGGCTATAACACGTTTTGTTTATCCATTCATTAGTTGGTGGACATTTGGGTTGCTTCCACTTTGGGGCTATTATGAATAAGGCTTCCATAGACATTCATGTACAAGTTTTTGTGTGACCAAGGTTCTTTTCAGCTCTAAAATAGGATGCTGTGAACATATATATCCCATGAGCTTCTGGATCCTCATTATGATGAAGGAAGGGATAGATACTGTTCTAATTTTATAGCTGGGAAAACCTGAGGGACAGAACCATATGTGACTTGATTAAGGATCTTCTAATTCAAGAATGATTAGAGTTCCTGTGCCTCAATTTCAGATTTCTGAGACAGCAGTTAAGATCGCAGGCTTTGAAGCCAGACAGCCCTGGGGCCAAACACCAACTCTGCTATTGACTAGCTGGGTGAACATGGAAAGTTTTTTCAGCTTTTTAAACCTTAGTTTACTCCTCTGTATAATGGAAACAATATATTATTACTATTACCTGATAATATTATGAGGTCTGAATGAGATAATATGTGTAAAGATCTAACCACAATGTCTAGCATATAGTAAGTGCTCAATAAATGGTAACTTATCATTATCATGTCCTCATCATGTAGATGGGATTTCTGTATCTAGTCAAATGTTGATTCTCTAACTTGAGAGCAGAAGAATCTGAAGTGTCCCTAGTACATATCAGTGTATAAAAATGTTTTGTTTAGTAGTTAAATCTCTATTCAAAAATATTTGTGTAGGGGCTGGCCCCATGGCATAGTGGTTAAGTTCAGTGCACTCTGCTTCAGTGGCCTGGGTTTGCAGGTTCAGATCCTGGGTGTGGACCTAAACCACTCGTCAGCCGTGCTGTGGCAGTGACCCACATACAAAATAGAGGAAGATTGGCACAGACGTTAGCTCAGGGCTGATCCGTCTCAAGCAAAACTGGAGGAAGATTGGCAACGGATGTTAGCTCAGGGTGAATCTTCCTCAGCAAAAAAAAAAAAAAAAAGTGTAAAATTGACCCTCCTAGGAGTTGTCAAGTTTATCCTATGGCACCTAGTATCCCCTGGACACTGCTGCATATACCCTGCGGATACCTCTATCCCAGTTTATTTGCTCATTTGGACAAAATGCCCTCTAAATTCTCTTCTAGCTTCTAAGATTCTCTGAGTCTCATTTTTGTGAAACTCAGGCTGACATATTTGGAGAAAGTGTAATTCACATTCTAAATTAGAAAATAACACTGCAGTGGCATTGACAGTGGGTTTAATAGGACATGTTAGACACTTATCATCCTAACTATATTGAAAGTGGAAAGAATACACTGGGCCTTGCTTTCAGAAGGAAGAGGTAAGAGACATGGGCCATGCTTGTTGCCTAAGGCGAGTACCTCCATATAAAGCTTAAAGTGGAGGTTTGTGAGAATCCTTCTGATACATAATACAGTACTTTTCACCGACATTACAACAGAAACCTCCAGAGCCCCTGACGGCAGCAGCAAAGATATCAGAGTTCTGGTCAGTGTCAAAGAGTCCTGAAGTGATTATTCACTGATTTAACCTGCCACAGTTATAACACAGTTCAGGCACTGTGGAAAGTTCTTAAAGCCTGTGTGCACAGCAGCAAGCCAAAGCAGCGATTTGAACAATGTCGAAACAGTCTTGTTCATAATACTAATAATGTCAGTAATGAGTTTCTTCCTTAGCCTTTTCAGTCTTCAGAAGCGGTTAAAATAAGATATTATTTTTAAAATGAAGCTCAGTAATGTTAGAAATGACAATAAGAGTTAAAAGAAGGCCTGTGCACAGTTTGTGCTAATAAAACGCTGTTCACACATTCTTGCAAATGCTAAGGTCAGACTTGAGCACCTGTTGACCAAAGAATGGGAAAAACAATTTCTTCTAAAAAAGTGGGATTTAAAATTGCTTAGGGACTTCTAAGATTTTCCTTCCCCAAAATGCATGGCTCTAGAGTTGGTAGCAACTGGCTAGAAATTTTCTTACGCTTTTTCCCTGCAGTTGTATACCTGATGGATCAGTCACACCTCTTTCCTCCTCCTTTCCTCACTCCTCATCCCACCAACAGCAGGACCATGTGCTTGGTTTTAATCTCATTTTCTTACTA